TGGATCTAACAATGCATAAATATCTAAACAGAAAACTTGCAATGTATTATTGACCACATCAGGAGAATATTCTTGGTCATGGTGAGACTAAAGAGCATACAACTTGTTCTGGCGCTGACCACCACATGTACCAAACGAAGCACCCTGTTGAGTGGGGCGACCTGCTGAAGTTGTAGACTGAGCCTTGTTACCTCATTGTCCTTTCCTAGTAGAAGGGCAATTCTTCAACCTATGACCAGACTACAACACCCAAAACACCCCTCTCTGCCAGTAAGACACTCGCCCAGATGGTTCTTACCACACTTTGGACAAAATGGAAAATCCTATTACCTAAAGAACTCCCCTAAGACTTAGAGCCTGATGCCCTTCCTTTCTGATCTTGTCAAAAATCTTGTCGAAACCTAGGAGATAAAGTACTACCTGATGAAGGCGTAGGGGCAGTAGACCTTTGGTGATATTATGAGTGATTCCCACCGCCCGACTTATGCTGAGAGTATTCATAATCACCTGTTCTAGCCTTTTTGTTATCCTTAGTCATTTCTTTGAGCTTATCTCCCTCAACCTGCTGAGCATGGGTCATTAGTCTAGAGATATCCATATCCCCTAATAGCATAGCATTCCTACACTCGGTCTTCACCAGATCGGATACTCCAAATAAGAACTTACTCATTTATGCTCTCAGATCGGCAACCATATGTAGAGCATACCTATAGATCTAGGTAAACTTTAGCACATATTCTTGGACTGACATCGAACCCTTCCTCAAGATCATAAACTCTTGAGCCTTAGCCTCCCTCAACTCTCTCAGGAAGAACCAATCCAGAAAAGCTCCAATAAAACAATCCCAAGTCATAGAAATTGCATCCGCACCCCTGTTATCTTTCCACTGCGTGAACCAAATATGAGCCACATCCATAGGTTGATAGGATGCTAGCTCAACACTATCGGTACCAGGCACTTGTATTACCTCAAGAATCTTTTTGACCTCATCAATGAAGTTTTGTGTTTTCTCACCAACCTTTGACCCTAGAAACTCTGGCGGATTCATATAAACAAATTCTTGAACCCTAGCTGCAATTGATCCACCAGTGGTGTTTGCAGGAACTGGGGCCTGCTGATTGTTCTGGTTTGATACGGTCTGATCCAAAGGTTGGATCGCATTACGAAACTCTGCATTCGTAACCTCATGGTTCGGGACTGGAGGAACTGTGTTAACTCTGCGAGGAGGCATGATCAGAAGCACATAACGACAGATTACAAATGAGAAGTTGAATCACACTTCACGCACGATAGGAATAACAAAAGAAAGGAAATTTTCTTAGAACAACTAGTAAAAACTCTCTCTCTCTCTCTCTTTTAGGTGTGGCACGCTTCACACTCAAGAAACAAACTCTACTCAGTGCGTCTTTCAGACACCCTAGGACTCTTGAACCTGATGCTCTGATACCAAGTTTGTCACACCCTGAGGCTACCCCCTAGACGTACCACGGGACCTAGGATCAAAAGTGACCCCAATCTAACCTTGAGTCTGGCATATCACAAGTATACTGAATATAAAACTAAGATAAGCGGAAGCATAACTAATAAATGAGTCAAACCAAAGGACTCCAAATGAAAATATATCTGAATATTTAGGGAAACAACCCCAAAACACTTAACACTGATTATATGTCTGAAAGCCTATACTATTGATGAGTTGTTGGGACAAATCCCCAGCTAACTCAAAAATATACTGAAAGACTGAAAATAAGCTAACTAAACCAAACATAATGAAACAGGCTTGAACTGTGAGGACTCACCACTGAAGTTGTTGAGTATGGGTTGGAAATCGTACTAAGCGTGATCTGGATGTTGAGCGCCTGAACCTACATCATAAAACGATGTAGCGCAAAGTATGTGTCAATACTTTGAATGTACTGAGCATGCAAGTTATATACTAAGTTGAACAATATAAATAAAACAATATAATACTAACAATATAGACTGAGCATGGCAATAGGTTGTGCTGAAGTATAACTGAAAACTGAGCTAGATGCAATAACCAAGTACTAATCATGAAGATAACATGTAGAACTGAATACTGAATTAAATTCTGATAACATGGTCAATGTAATAAGAGTATGACTCAGGGAGCTACTATCAACCAACATAAACAACGTGAACTAAACATGGAGTCTGTTGTATACGCCTCATCGAGAGGACCCAATATACCTTGCCAGGGGTATAGAGGAATGATTGTGGCATGATAACTAAAATTGATGCCCAACAAAGGAAACTTCTGAACCTACATTGGCACATAGTTCTAGGACTGCGATGGTACACTGAACCCTAGTCCAACTTGGTGCTAAGTCTACTCCCAACTGAATATGTATATAGCTAAAATGCAACTAAAATACTGAGTAGCTCAAAATACTGTCATGTTATCTGAAAATGCAACATACATATACTGAAAGATATGACATTCGAGTTCTGAAGCATGATTTTTTGACTGATATGCCTAGCAAGTATAATTCGTGAGTATTGATAATTAATACAAGCTAGGGTTCTGAATTCTATACATGGAACTATGCAAATTTTCCAAGAAACATGTTATTTAGAATCGTGGAACTATAGCAGCTAAACTCACAATGAATCTCCAAGATTTGGAAACCCCAGGTCTGAACAATTTATGAGAACTTGAAGAACTGACCAAAATCTAGGGACCTAATGGGTGAAAGGAACCCATTAGTGAAATCTCATATACCTGGTGACGAAAACTATGGAGAAACCCTTTGGATTTTGGGATTGAACTTGAAGAAGACCTATGCTTGTTCTTGGGCAAACTATCACATCTTTTCTCTTCTTTTCGTTCTAAGTTAGATGATTTTAGGAAAATGAGGGTTCTGGGTAGTGTCTAACTAGATTATTAGGCTTAGACTAAGTAAAACGACATAGTTTAAGAATTAAACGACGTAGTTTAAGTACCAAAATCATAGGGGAAAAGACCAATGCCACCCTGACTCAAAAGCTGACGAAGTGACTTCAAGACAGGTTTTACGGGCCGTCTAGAGCACCACGGCCCATCAAGTGGGTCGTGAAGAGGCTCTACACGACATGGCTTCACTATTTCGGGCATAACTTTTTACTCTGAGCTTGGATTAGGCAAACTCGACAGCGTTTGAAAGGGGATTCAGAGATCATTAATTTGATAGGTTATGGCCCACGTAATTCATTTTGTGTTGAAAGATATGATCATTTAAAGTTGTCCCTAAGCTTCAAGTCTAATAAGTCTCTTTCACAGACAACTTTACGGTCCGTGTGAAGCTTCACGGATCATCTAGGCATCTAAGTACTTCACAGTGGCCTTGGGGGTGCAACCTCACTTAAATCTCACGAGGTGACCTTTAAGAGGGGCTTGACGGGCCGTCTAAGACGTGATGTCCCATCTAGTGGGTCGTCATGCTGCCCTGCCCGACAGGGCTTCACTAAAATGTGCATAACTTTTTACTCTGGGCTCGGAATTAGGCAAACTTGGTGGTGTTGGAAAAAGGACTCAAAGACTTAATTTGATAGGTCTTGGTCCACCAAAATTCATTTTGTGCTAAAAGATGTGATCGTTTGAAGTTGCCCCAACACTCAAGACCTGACATGGGTGCAACTTCTTTGACTGAGTGACTTGTACAGACACCTAGATGGGTCATCCAAGTCACCATGGACCGTCTAGGGCGCCATCTAGGTGACCCCTCCCAAGCAGTCCTGGATGGTTATTCACGACATCCTTAACGGATCGTGGTCCCCTACACAAACCGTCTAGCATGTCACGAAGGGTCCATGGTGCATTTTGGATTTGTGGACTTGCCCAAATTTCCCCTTTTAGCCCTTTCTCGAAGTTTGGGGTGTTACATTATCCGACATACCTAAAGCAATAGTATGTTGTGATAGTGTGTGCATATATATATATATATGTAGTGATGGTATCATGCAATAAGTGAGCATTTCTTTTCTTAATTTTTGGTTTTGTTAATTTGCTTGTATACTTTTATTATATGTGCAGGTTGTGAATTTTATATCAAAATAGATATTAATTACAAGTCGAGGATTGAATGTTTCACGAATTGTGATGTAGTTAATGATTTGATGATATTTTGTCAGTTGTACAAATTAAATTGTTTAGACAAACTTTCTTTGATAAATATCTAGATATGTCGCCAATTATGGTGGAAGGACGCGTTTGGCATAATTTGTTGATGAGGCAAGTGCATTCTGAAGAGAAGTTTATGATGCATTTTTTCGGTAAATGGTACGCATTTTCATTTTGGATTGAGTAAGTCTGCCCTTGTTACAGGGTTAAAATGCAAAGGTAATAGGGAGAGAGGTGAACACAATCGAAAGGTTGCGAGCAAGTTAGTCTATGTATTCCACATACATGCAAATCACACTAGATACATGTATATGGTATCCCAGATACATTTTGAAATATATGTACATAGGGAGAGAGGAGAGAGGAGAGGGGGAGAGGAGAGAAGGAGAGAGGCGAGCAAGAGAGTCAAATAAATGTGAATCCACTTGGTTATAATAGATCTAAAATCAATTACACTTAATTTTGACCTCATGTATTCGAGATACATGTATCTTAGACACACCATATACATGTATCCATAGTACAAATTCCGATAAGATTCATAATATTGAAAACTCACTTGACGTGGAGTAATTTGCTTCTAAACTAGTGAGATTTGTATTGTTTACCCTGTTTTTATTCATCTTGATGTAATTATAATATTTTTAAAATAAGTTTATTATTCTTTAGCAAAGTTCAAAAAATATATGTATTTGTGGCCAAAAAGCAGAATTATATTTTTTTTCTCCTTTTTTTTAAACCTTTTTGTATATATATATTTTTTTCATTTAATTTTTTTTCTAATTTTTCTACTGGTGTTCATACCAGCATCGGAGCCTTGTTATTGAGATTTGAGACGTAACCGATTTTGCTCATTTTTCTGTCACCTCCTACCTATAATAAAGATCCGAACAATCAACAAATTGAACAACTGCTCCGCTCGGTAGATTCAACAGCGCTCGCTATGTTTGCTAAATTTTTTGAAAAACTCAATCCCACGCCACCGGTAAATTGCTCCATTTCATCGTTTTTGAATTCTCAATTTTGCATATTGATCTTTTTTCACATTATAACACAAACCTGATTTGCTTTCCCGATCCTTTTTGCTTTTTTGGTAAATGTTTGAGTAATGCAATTATTTGCTGAATTGTTTGTTTAGAGCTTTTTAGGAGAGGGGTAACCACTGTCAGACATTTTTTTAGTCTTCTTCAATTAATGCTTGATCTTTTGATTCTTAGAGATTCTGTGCTACCATTTGTGTTGTTTGTCCAATCGTGTAGAAATCTGACGACGGAAAAAAAAGAAGGAAAATCTGTAATTATTGCGGCAGGAGAAGAGATATACCCCACCTAAAAAATGACAGCAGATGGTATTTCTTAGCACAAATATTAGCATAGGAGTATTTGACGTGACTTTTTATATCTGTTATGAAGTGGAAAGGATTACAAATTTTATTAACTTTAAGTTTAGTTCCATGAAATGGCTGATAAGGGTAAGAACTAGAAAGAAAGAGAAACCTATTGAATTACTTCCCTTAAGTGAAGTAATGGCTTCTATTTTTGGTTGTTTGAGATGTAAAAGATACATTTTTTCTCCCTCCTCGTCCAGTTTCAAAAGGAGAATACCCAACACTTCCAATTTGAGCTCTCTTCTGCCTCCACTTCTATGCTAAACAGGGGAATAACTCTTAAAGATACTCCTTTTTTAAGCTCAAAAGGAAGGAAAAGATGGTGTTGGTAGTGATAACCTGCCCCAAAAAAGTTACAACGGGTAGTTACTTGAAGTTAGTTAGTTGTGTAATAGTATTCTGGTGATTGATTGATGTACATAGAAGGTTCTTGTGATCAATTGATGCTAATACAATACACCTTCTGTTTAAAATTCTCTCAAGCTCTTTTCTTGGTGCTCTCGGATCAATCTTGATCCTTTGTAATTTTTCTGCCTTTTCGCTTCCCTTCTATCATATGGTTGTACAATTATTAATCATCACTGACAGTGTATGGTGCAAGATGCTAATGCAGTGGAGTTCTTAGATTTTGTTAAATATATTCTTAACATGTTTGTCATTTAGTAAAATTTATTCACAACGTGTTTGTTGATGACAAAGTTTGAAGATCAGTTTATGCTGCCAAAACTGATTTCAGTGCAAGGCAGGATCAAAGTGGTGTTTGTTGAGCTCCCAGAAACCCTAGGTCCATGCCTTTATCTTCCTTTTTAGTGTGAAGTAAAATCTAAGAGAAATCATCAGCAATGATTTCTGCTACAGTGCAGGAAAAATATAAGACATAAAACAGAAGAATAAACATGCCGTGTAGGACAATATGAAGTAAAAGAACTAGCATTTCGTGTCAGCTCAAATGCAATAGGGAGAGCCAATTGTTTCTATTGGAGCATTTTTTATTTCTTATAATCTGGGCTAGGGCTAGGGCCAGAGACACATTCCAGGATGTAAATGACTAAATGCTTTGAACTTGTCTCTGTCTTTGTTGAACTTTTTTCAGTCTTTAAAATGAAGACTTGAAATATGAGGTAACATTATCCAGACCTTGTTTCATGTCCTGTGAAAACAGGGCTAGGGCTTTGATTTCAGGTTGTGGATGAGATTAGATAGAAATATATAGCAAGAGTATGATTAAATGGAATAAACAGTTTTCTTCTTGAGACAATACCAAATTCTCAGAAGTTTGGTTTATGATATCGTGAAGGGTAAACTTTATATGCTAGGTTCAGCTAATTGTTGTTCTTGAATTGCTCCAATACAAATACTGTAGACTGGGTCAGGGATTCTACCAAGTAAAATGCAACACAATGTAAGATCTCGCTTCTTCTTATAAGATCTTCAATCAAGCATGCTACTGTATGTAGTCTATTTTCGTTCTCTTCCTGCTTATGAAGGGGAATCAAGGAATGTTAACTTCTCTCTTGAGCTGATGTCGACTCGTGTAGTGGTCGGCCTTCCTACCAGAATGCCTTCTTAGTTGAAGAGCATCCTGCAAACTAGTAAGGATGGAGGAAGCAAAAAAGAACTTATGTGAATGGTGTTTTTCAAAGGCCACGGAATAGACTGCATTGAAGATAGAAAACATGAAGGGAGAGAATCAGAGAAATGGTTCTAAGTTCCACTTGTGCTGCTTTGCCAGTCTGAGATGATTAGTATTGCTCCCATCATGCATTCTCTTCCTTCAATCAGCTCGAGATATGTTACTTACAGTTTGATAGTGCATTTAGAAAGTCGTCCAGCTTGCATAACAATACTTGCTCCCTTCACAAACTAGAACTAATGCTTGTTTGCATAGTATATAATTCAAACCTAATAGTCTCTATCTGCTGAATTTACTGTATTGTGCTTTAAAACTCCCTTACCACATTTTTCTCAGAATAATGCACCCGAAGGAAGTGAAAAATTGACAGACCTGGAAGCAACAGTTTCTGTTCACTATGGGATTCCATCTACAGCATCCATTCTGGCATTTGACCCTATTCAGCAACTCTTGGCAATAGGAACATTGTGAGTAAAAAAACATAGTAATTTATATGCCTTTGAAGATGCTTATGACGGTGCTTTGTTTAGTCTACCAGACCTTTCATTTACATGTTGTACAGCTTATAAGAAGCAGATGATAGTGCATTATTTGTCTCATTCAGCAACAAGGTATGGAGGCCTCTCAACTTTAGAAGTAGCACATTAATTAAGGAGTTCATCTGGGGAGTAATAAGTTCCTTTGAGAGAATTTCAAACAGTAACGAAGATAACTAATGACATGAATTTTTCTGATTCTCTTTTTGATAGCCTTAGCAGGATCCTAGAGTGCTAATAGCAAAAAGCAAGGTTGCACAATACTTAGTGCTGTAAATACATTTTATAGTTCTTTCAAGGCTGAAGCATCACCATGTAAAACACATATTAGGACCAATTGCCATAATTTTCAGGTCATGTGGACATAACATTTTTCCATTCTAAGCTGAACTCATAATCCATTGTATAAATACATGAAACTTCTTCGACCTCAAACATAGTTCAAAAACATGCCATTTAGGCTTCTGTGTTCATATGCAACAAGCGGGAAGGCATAGCTTGAAAGAACTGCCATCAACTAGAAATGTCCCATCCTCATGTCTCTCTCCTAGTTCTTTCATACAACTAATAATCATTATAATTACAGGGATGGAAGGATTAAAGTGATTGGCGGATCTAACGTCGAGGGCCTTCTTTTCTCTCCTAAGCCATTGGCGTTCAAGAATTTGGAGGTTTGTAATCTGAGCTGTGTGAGGTCTCTCTGTGTATCTGTACAGGTACACTTTTCTAAATTAAGACCGCGAGCATGTGGGAATTCCAAGCTCTGTTTCTCCAGAGAGCTTCATTTATCGCTTGTAGATTTTGTTTTGGAGTCTGGCATTATCATCTGATGAATTTTATATCTGGTTTCATGATATTTTTGGCAAGCTGATTCTTGACTCTACGCTTCCAATATTTAATGCTATATAATTTACTACTCGGGTGATGGTTAGCATGCACTTCAAATGTGTATGATTATGAACTTTAGAAATGGCTGTGATATTGGTAAAATGAAATAGGACAAGTGTGCTGTGCCCATGTGGAATTTGTAGTTTCAACCCTTATACTTGCATAGTGCATATGTGTTGGGCTCTTTTGATATAAATATATTTTTCTCTTACCTCTTTCCAGTTCCTGCAAAACCAAGGATATTTAGTGGGCGTCTCAAATGGAAATGAAATTCAGGTAATCTGTGATCTTTCTCCTACGCAATTTGACCTGTTAAAGACTAATTTCCGAGCTGGGAATTACTTGAATCTTTTAGCTCACTGGTGGAGATGTATAGCAACATTCTTTTACTTTGAGGGAACCTTTTGATAGGAGAGTATAGGCAAGTTAGTTCACACAGACACAGGTACCCAGGAAACTCTTCTCTCGCATTCATGTGTCTTTGGGGGAGATGGCATTACTGTTAATCAGTCATGAATCTGCACCACACTCTTCTTCTCCTCTATCAGTGCTTATATCTTCCCCGTTTTTCCATATGCTGCATTTGTATCTCTTTAACAGTTAATTTCCTTTAATAATTGACAGGTTTGGGATCTAGAGAACAGGAGAATATCTTCTAGTTTACAGTGGGAGTCCAATATTACTGCATTCTCCGTTATCTATGACACTCATTACATGTAAATGGGTAGATATTGTTATTTCAAAAGATTCTTGTTCACCGTACAGTTAGTTTTTTATTTGATACATGCGATATGACTGTACACAGGTTCGTGGGAGATGAATATGGTTATCTCTCTGTTCTGAAGTACGTGGAAGGAATCATGGAACTGTTGCCTTATCACATGCCTCCGAATCTTATAGCTGGTAACGGGATTGCTTTCAGATATCTGTTGTATAGTAGGTTCATATAGTTAAAGGATCATGGCTTTACTGGAAATTACTAACTAAATGTTCTTTTAGTTACATCTTTCTCCGGAGAAACTTAAAATGATTTGAAGCCATTGTGTTTCTTTCTTATTTCATTTCTTTTTAGCCTTCCATTCCAAGTTCGGTTGTGGGAACTTTCAGCTAATTTTGACCGAGGGAATAACCTATTGCTAAATCTTTCTTCTTTTCCTGATGCAATTTCACTGTCATTTTATCTCTAGGATTTCTCTCTAGTTTTAATATGCACAGTGAGAGGTTAGAAGGAGAAGAGAATTTTGGAATTAGTGTCATAATTATTCCCTCAAGCTAGTAGGATTAAATAGTTGTTACAAAGAACGTAAAGAAGAAAGGAAACTAATAAGAATATAACACAACTTACTAATTGCCTAATTACAGAGATTTGAGGATATTCTCATATCTACACTATCTAATTATACCATACTTAACAATTTCAAAAATTATACCATATTTAACACACAATATCTCAGATTTGCATTAGTGAGACCCTGATTATTTGACTTATTTCTCTTGTTATATGTAAGTTTTTATGAGAACTTATGGTTGATCAATTCGCAGTAGAGAGATTTGGCAAGAAAGTGACTATATAAAGTAGTTGACAATTTTATCTTAGCTCAATTGCATTTGTAGTCACAACACTACTGACAAACTAACTTGAACTAGAGGCCAAGCAGTGAAGTTTGACATGCACTAAGAATATCTACTCTGTGATTTATGATTAGCATCTTGTAAGCCTTAAAATTAGCACATAGGTTGATGGTTCGTATAAGAACATTGACATTAACTCTCAGGGTGATGTATGCCAAACGTTACACCATCCAGTTTTTGGAAATTTCTTTAACTTTTGACGTGCTCCTAATAACTCAAGTGCTTTTTCAACGATTGTTCATATTTTTAGGATTTCCCAGAAGAGTGCAGTATCAATAAGCTTATGATTTTACCATGAGAAACACAAATCTTTCGAATTAAGAGGGTAGAAGAGTAGGATGACAACTGATAATTAGAAACTCTTAAGGTCAATATGAGTAAGAAATGTATTTTCGTGAAAGTCTTCCCCTTTTCTTGGAAGGTGCTGACTTGTCGGAGTAAGTCAGTATCCTTCTCTTTTGGATCTTCCACTTCTTGCAAATTGCAGTGTGGTTTTCATCCTCCAAAAGCAAGTGTACCGATGAATACAATTTCTGTGTACTAACTTATGTGAACATCTTCTCATATACCCATGATCATCTGTTGCAGAAGCTGCTAATATTTCAATGCCCGACCAACTCGCCATTGTTGGTTTACTTCCCCAACCTAGTTCACATGGAAATAGGTAAGAGATGATCGAAATTTCTCCCTTAGTTTCTCGTCTTTGGTTTTTCATTTTTAGAGTTGTTTTCAGCATCCACATTCTTCTGCTTCTTATCACACATCTACCCTTGGTCTCTTGCTGCACTCAAGTACTTTTTGGGGTCCTAGCGTCGTCTTTCTTTTTGTTTCCTCAGGGTCCTGATTGCTTATGAGAATGGATTAATTGTTCTCTGGGACATTACAGAAGATCGAGCTGCTCTTGTTAGAGAGTTTAAACAACACCAATTAAAGGATGAAATTGTTGTTTATGCTTCAAAAAATGCTAGTGAAGAGAAGTTTTGTGCTTCATCAGATAATCAAGAAGGCGAAAAAGAAATAAGCTCACTCTGTTGGTTGTCATCTGATGGGTCAATTTTGGCTGTTGGTTATGTTGATGGTGATATTTTGTTGTGGAATATATCAGTTCCTGGCAAGAAAAGTCCAGAGGCTGAAGCTTCGTCTAGTTATGTTAAGCTGCAGCTTTCAGCAGGAGACAAAAGACTCCCTGTTATTATTCTGCGTTGGTCCGCTAAAAATACACAGAATGGTTGTGGGGGCCAACTATTTGTCTACGGTGGTGATTCAATTGGATCAGAAGAAGCCTTGACGGTAAGCTCTAATCCTAATCCTAATTTAATTTCCCATCTTAATCTTTTTGTTTATCCCCATCATAATTTTGTTAGCATTCAGCAAATATGGCGTTTAAAAAAGATTGAGACATGCAGAATCCTAAATGGCTTGAAATTGAGGTTTAGTTGTTATTGTTTTAATTGGTAAAAGTCTATGGAGTAATTTGACTTACACATCCAGAAAAGGTAACAAAACTGATTTTCAAAATTTTAATTTTGAAAGTGTTGAGAATATAATTAAGTAAATAAAAGTGTGCTCTCCCTAACAACTTAAGCTTTAAGATGAGATGGTCACATACTTTAACATGGTACCAGAGCAGACAGATGTCCTGGGTTGAGTCTCAATGCCACCCGTTATCTAAAAGAATTTCCACATGCTTGTCCCTGTAAAAAAGAATCAAGCCCGCACTTAAGGGGTCATGTTGAGAATATAATTAAGTAAATAAAAGTGTGCTCTCTTTGATAGGCATCAACCCTTCTTCCTTTCAGATCCAATAACAGAGTTTTGCACAAAGATGGGGGAGAATAGGATTTACTTCAATGCTGGTTTTAAGTCGTTTGGCATCACTAGTGGACATCTGATAGTGCCATCTGGTATGAATGGGTGGAAAGAAGTCATAGTATGATGAGAAGATCATGGAATGGATTTGTTTTGTGCTTAGAGAGGCCTCCAAAGAGCAAAGATCAGCATAAAGTAGTTAGGAGATGGAAAACCACAGAACATGATGCAGAGCACTTCTGCACCAGGAAATTTAATGAGTATGGTAGATAATGAGCATATTATCCTTGAATGGAGGTGGGGGAACAGTCATTATTATCCCAAAACAACTTTGAATGCAGGTTGATGTGATATTGCATTTAAGATAGAGAGATTCATTAAATGTTCTTCAAAGTTGGAATTGACAGTTCTTCCCAGAGCAACTGAAACCAACTACTCACATGTTAAGGTAGTGCAAGAAAGTAAATGGTAGTCCAAGAATCTTAGAGAAGCTGAGGTGGGGATACAGAAGGGTATAAAGGTTTGAAATGTAGAAGAGAACGATGATTTTATTCATGAACAACATGCTCCTTATATAGAGCAGATACAACACTGAAATACTAATCCAAAAATACATCGTAATCTGATAAGATACTGTGCAACTAAAATACAGGAAACTAGTGAAAGTCCTAAATGGTTAAAATTACTAGAATACGGAAAGCAGATAGCTGGAAAATAGGAAATAATAACAAACTTCTAAACTAAAGGATAACAAATATTATCTGATAATACGCCCCCTCAAGTTGGGGGGGGGGGGGAGACCGGAACCAGCCCCAACTTGTGAAAATGGCGCAAAAAAGCTGTACTTGTACGTGAAAGAGGCTTGGTAAGGATGTCGGCAACTTGATCAGCATAGTGAAGGTGACGAATTTCAAGTGCTTTTTGTTGAACTTGCTCCCGAAAAAAAATGGAAATCAATAGCTACATGCTTCATCCTACTGTGAAACACTGGATTAGCACAAATTTAGGTGGTGCTAACATTGTCACAGAGGACTGTTGGAGCAGACAGTGAATAACGAAACTCATGGAACAATTTTGTGAGCCAATTGTCTTCAGAAACAGTAGCTGCAACAACTCATACTTAGCTTCCGTGGGTAAGTGTGAGACAGACTTGCTTTTTGGAAGACCAAGAGATTGATGAATTCCCAAGGCAGACAACATAACCTGTAGTTGAAGTTCTGTCTTGTGGATTTCCAGCCCAATTGGAGTCAGAATAATCAAGTAAATGATCTGTTGGTTGTCGACTTAGCTGGACTCCCACTGTGCTTGTGTGTTTGAGACAGCGCAACAGACGTTTGGTGGCTTTCCACTGAGACACTTTAGGATTATGCATAAACTGAGACAACTAGCTAACAGAAAACCCTATGCCAAGCCTAGTGAAGGATAGATAGTAAAGTTTACCAATGATTTTTCTGTAAAGGGAAACGGTCAACTGTAGAATCATTTTTTGAATCAGCGAAGGAGCAGGTTGATGTCATTGGTGTTGGAACTCCCTTGCAATTAGCCATATGCAATTCATCTAGAAGATCCATGACATATTTATGTTGAGACAAATATATGGCAGTTGGCGTGGATATCAGCTCAACACCCAAAAAATAATGCAGGAGCCCAAAGATCTTTTAGAGAGAATCTTGGGAAAGTGATGTAATTATGGACCTGATACTTGTCTGAATGCTTCCGGTAATAACTATGTCATCAACATATATGAGAATGAATACAATGACACCATAATTATGAAGGATAAACAAAGATGAGTTGGATTTTGATTAAACAAATCCAATACTTGTCAAGTAGTTGGTGAACTCGGTGTACCATGCCCTAAGAACCCGATTAAGTCCGCATATGGCCTTTTTGAGCTTGCAGATGTATGTGGAAGTTTGAGAGGACTCAAAACCAGGAGGTTGTCACATGTACACTTCTTCTTCAAGACTACCTTGCAAGAAGGCATTGTTGATATCTAGCTGATGAATAGGCCAGGAGCATTGGGCAACAATTGCAAGAACTAAGCAGACTGTTGCAGGCTTGCCAATGGGGCTGAGTGTGGAATGATAGTATAACCTTGGTATTTGAGTGAAGCCTTTGGTTACTAGGCTAGCCATATATCTGTCAATGCTTCCATTAGGTTTATGTTTAATTCCAAACAGCCACTTATAGTCCACAACATTTTGAGAGGGATCACTAGGGACCAAATCCCATGTCTGGTTTCTGACTAGAGCATCATATTCTGCTTTCGTTGCTTCTTGCCATTGGGGATATAGTTTTGGTTGACGATAGGAGTGGGGAATTGGTGGCTAGAGATTTGTGTTAGCAAGAAAATTCTTGGGTATCAGGCTATTATTTTTTAGCGAGTAACCATTGGGTGAGAAGAGTGGTTGGTTTCGGTTGCGATGGAGGGGCATTAGGGTGTGGTGGCTGCAATTCAATGGTTGGAGGTAGCTAAGGGGCTTGGACAGATGTTGTAACCTTAGAGGCCTGACGGCTATAGGTGTGGGTGATGGGTGGCTTACATGGTGGGGCAGGGAGTGATAACACTCAATTATACCTCGTGATTGAGATATAGAAGGTCGTATGCAAAAACAGTACCCAACTTAGGAGTCAAGCTTGTATGGACACTTGTCTTGTAATTTTGGAGTTCTTTTTTTATGATAAGAGAAACCCGCAGCCGGCGAGCTGCTACCCTTTGGGTGCGCACATGGTAAATTTGGAGTTGTCATTCTGCTTATGAGAAAAACAACTTGATGACACGCTTAATTCCAAAAGTGGCTGGTAAAGAAGCTTGGTGCATTAGAGTTTTTGCAATCTCTACAACATGGCGATATCGTCTCTCTACTACAACAACACTTTGAGGAGTATAAGGTGGGGATATTAGGTGTTCAATGCCCTGTGGTTTTAGATAAGAAGTGAAACACTGAAATTCACCTTCCCTGTCGATATAAAAAGATAATATTTTGTTCGAAACCGACATTCGAGTAATGGATGTAGTGTTTTGAAAGCATCTAAAACTTTGTGTTTGGATTGAATCGTGTGGAGCCACATGTATTTTGAAAACTGATCGACGAACAAAACATAATTATCTTTTTTCTATTGATGGACAAAACTGGTGATGAGCCTCACAAATCACAGAAAAATAACTTGTAGAGGCCTGCAACTCTGCAGAGAATTTGTAGAAAAAGATTGTCTGTGGCTTTTATTTGATTGGCAGGAATTACAAATCGAAAGAGAGTCTTTCTTATCAGGAATGAAAAAAATTATTTTAAAATATATCTAAAGTACGGCGTGTTGGATGCTCGAAACGCCCATGCCACAGATCTAAAGACATAGCGACATGGCATGCAGTTGAGAAGAAAAAGGATTGTTTAGCGGCCACTCATAAAGGGGTCCTCTGCTCCGTTCTTGAACTAACGGTGCCCCTGTATTTGGACCCTTCACAAGATAAGAGAATGAAAATAATTTAATGGATGTTGTATTGTCACGACAAAATTGAGAAACTGATCAAGTCATTGGCAATTGAAGGGGAGCAAAGTATATTGGATAATTGAAAGCTACAATCAGATGCGTATAAGTCAGTGTTACCGGTTACCATTTCCCATATAGATTTTTTTGTAACTAGTTTCCCATATAGATTTCTTCCTGACCATTGTAGTCAGTGATACTTGTGAGACTTTGGACATCTGATGCAACATGCTGTGTAGCCCCTGAATCAACTATCCATGGGGCAGATTGTTGCATCCATTGTCCAACTAAATTGGCTCATGCCTGAATATGATTATGAGACTGAGACCGACAACCGTGAGCAAAGTATCCAGGTCGGTCACATAACTGGCACACTAGGCCGATTTCTTGTGGATTGGTGCAACGACTGCGCCTTGGCTGAGAACGGTGCTGCTGGTTGTTGTTCTGACGCCTATTGTTGGTGGTGGCACTGTTCCTTGTTTGAGAGTTGGTCTTTTAAGCAATAACAGCAGTAATGATGTTGGATTGAGGCGGAGCATTGTGTTTGAGGGAAAAGCTCATGATCAATTAGCTTTTCAAACAGTTAGGCATATGAAATTGGGGAGTCATGTGCTCGAATTGCTGCTGAAATTTTTTGATATTCTGGTCCAAGACCAGTGAGAATCTTGATAATGAGTTTGGCATTGGTGACAGAAGCTCGGGCGATCACAAGCTCATCTCAGAGAGATCGGACTTGGTTGAGATAACCCGTTACATGAAGACTCTCTTTGGTGAGACGAGCGAGTTGATCTCACAAGCTGAATATGTGAGTTTGTGACTTATTGGCATAAGCAGTGTGGAGTGGATCACAGCCTGCTTTGGCAGGAGTGTTATCAAAGGTGTGCTTAAGCCCTGAAGAGAGGCTCAAAACGTTTCCTTTCCAATGAACCTCTTCTGAAGAGACGACACTAAACAATTGATACTTCACCTTATCGTAATTATTTTTTAATTTCTTTGTTCATAGATTTGTCATTCATGCTTATAAATTATCAGTCTTGGACTAAACATATATATATATTTGTATTTTTTTCTCCCTTTGCGCCTTTTCTCATTAAAGCCCACTATTTTTTGCCCTTTGCGTTTAAAGCCCCAACGAACCTTAGAGCTTTTTTGTGCTTTTTGCTTTTGATAACACTGTTTGGCAGTGGTCAATGGCTGCAAGTGTTGGATCTACTGATACTAAAATTGCATTCTGGTCAATTGGTCCTGCCAAAACCAATTAACATAATCGGGGTTAGCAATTGTCTGGTTGTTTTTGGTGGTGGTATCGACAGGAGCAGGGAATGGGATAGTTCCATCTAGATGTCCATAAAGATTTTGTCCTCTCATGAACGTGGATACTTGTGCCTTCCATAGAAAGAAGTTATGGCTGCCAGCAAGTCTAATTGGAAGTTGGGTAACTGAGTTGAATTGAACAATGGTGGTGGTATTGGTTGCATCAGAATTGGTAATGGAGGGTGCCATGTGTGGTGGGAGGGTAATAAGAAACTTAGAACTTTGTGAGGAGAAAAAAAGCTCTTGATACCATATAAAGGTTTGAAAAGTAGGAGAGAGCGATGATTTTATTCATGAGCAACGTTCTCCTTGTATAGAGCAGCTACAACACGGAAATACTAATCCAAAGATACATCGTAATCTGATAAGATACAGTGCAACTAAAATACAGGAAACTATAGAAAGTCCTAAATGAACAAAATTACTAGAATACGGAAAGCAGATAGCTAGAAAATATGAAATAATAACAAACTCCTGAACTAAAGGCTAACAAATATTATTATCCGTTAATAAAGGGAAACATCACCATTAAAGCTAGTAGCTTTGAGTCTAAAGAGATGATTTGCTCAAAAAATGCTTAGTTAGGCATGTTGGAAAGGACACTGAAGAGAAACCCACCTTAGCTGGCATGAGGAGATGGACAGCAGCCAACTGGAAATCTACTTTCGGGCTACTCATATATGTCTGTATGGATGCTTATTTCTTTTTGAGTTTCCAAATAAATTCATGGTTGAGAAGATTTTCCAAGGTCACTGGAGTTGGAAGAAATCATAGTTCAACCTGGAATTTTTTTATTTTATTTTTGGATGAAGTAAGACATTTTATATAATAGGCATCATCAAGAAGAACAAGAGGATAGTGTGGGATGAGATTGAGTTTGTAAAGGGACTGATGGAAGTTTGTGGGGACTTTAATGTCCCCAGATTTAGCTCACAGAAAAGAAATTGTAATAGAAGAACGAGAGGTACGGTTACTTCATTGAAGATATGAACCTAATTGACACCCAACTTGAGGGTGGAAATTTCACTTAGTTCAAAGGGATAATCGTGAGACAGCCTCAAGAATTGACAGGATTCATTGCAAAAGAATGGGATGACAACTTCAGAGATATAAGCGCTCCCTTCTCTAGAGAATAATATCTGATCACTTCCCAGTAGTCGTACAATGTGGTTATTGGGTCCACAACAAGAATTACTTCAAGTTTGAAAACTGGTGGTTGAGAACTGAAGGATTTAATGATAGAGTTAGTGACTGATGGAACTCTTTTACTTTATTGAGAGGCCTGACTACATTCTAGCTTGCAAACTGAGAGCTCTTAAGTCAACGCTGAAGAAATGGAGAAAGACTGAGCAAGGAAACCTGATTTCACAAAGAAAGAAATTGTTGGGACAGATGGGAGAGCTAGACTCAGTACTTGGTGACAGAGCCGTAACCGATGAGGAAATAATGAAATAGACCGCAACATATATGGAGTATGAGGAACTTGTCAAGAATGAAGAGATTTCATGGAGACAGAAGTCTAGGACTCTATGGCTTAAAGAAGGAGACATGAACACTAAGTTCTTTCACAAGATGGCTAATGCACATAAGAGGTACAACAATATTGATCAACTGCTAGTCCAAGAAGAATTAATTAAAAATGCAGTGAGAACTGAAGGGGGAAATCATTGATTTCTATCAGCACCTGTGTTCAGAAAAGGATGAATGAAGACCTTCCTGTCATTTTGAAAGATGCCCTGTCATCTCAGAGGAAGACAGGGGGCTTCTACAAGACAGGTTTGCGGAACAAGAAGTTTTGAAATGTTTGAAGTTGTATGCAGCTGATAAAGCACCTGGACCAGACGGTTTTACAATGGTTTTCTTCATAAAACACCGGGAAGTGTTGAAACATGATGTAATGAATGCTATTAAGAACTTCCATGAACAAGAAGTATACCTTTATTGCATTGATTCCTAAGAAGAAAGGCGCAAAGGAATTGAGGGATTTCAGGCCTATCATCTTGATAGGCAGTTTCTACAGGCTAATAACTAAAGTGTTATCAGGAAGATTATAGATTGTCAGCAAATGGCTTTCATCAAAGATAGAAAAATCATGGATATTGTGCTAGTGGCAAATGAAGCTGTGGATTCTAGACTTATGCTAGCAGAAGCCTGGTATTCTATGCAAGTTAGACATTGAGAAAGTATATGATCATGTTAAATGGGCTTTTTTTATGAAATTAATGGGAAGGATGGGTTTTGGACATAAATGGATTCATTGGATCAAGCATTGCATCACAACTGTCAATTTTTCCGTACTGCTATATGGCTCTCTCTGCTGGGTTCTTTAGTTAACAAAGAGGTCTCAGGCTGGGAGATCCGCTGACCCCCTTTTTGTTCCTATTGGTTATGGAAGGTCTCAATAATATGATTAAAATAACTTAGCAATGGGTGGATTAGAGGTTTTGAAGTGACTACAGTTGATAGGGGCAGTATGGAAATGACTCATTTCCAATATGTTGATGATATTTTGATTTAATGTGATACAAAAGAAGATCAACTGAGATATTTGAGGGTGATCTTGGTTTATTTGAAGGGGTGTCTGGTTTACACATCGATCAGAGGAAAAACTTGCTTTTTCCCAACAGAGATTGCCCAGCTAAATGCAATTCTAGGTGGAAAAATGGGTACATTACCAACTACTCAACTAGGATTGCCACTTGGAGCAAAATCTAAATCCAAAGGAATTTGGGACACTGTTAATGAAAAATGTGAGAAGTAATTGGTCAGATGGAAAACTCAAATACTTATCTTTGGGTGGTAGGTTGACACTCAGTCCTAGATGTTCTTCCTACATACATGATGTCTCTGTTTTCAATCCGAGCAGGGTTATTAGAAGGTTGGACAGTATTTGGAGAGGTTTCCTTTGGCAAGGTAACAAAGAAAAGAAAGGTTTTCTTTTAGTAAAATGGAAAGCTCTTACTTTTGCAAGTAAATTTGGGGGTCTGGGAATCATGAATTTAAAGTTTCACAATAAATCTTTGAAGATGAATGGTTGTGGAGACTTCCAATGAGAATCAGTCTTTGTGGAGTAAAGTTATAAATGCAAAATATGAGGAGGAAGACAAATGGATGACCAAGGAGGTTGATACACTATATGGGGTTAATGTATGGACGTCCATCGGGACCTTCTTGGAGCGACTTAAAGAGCAAAACAAAGATCAAAGTTTATAATGGTAGCTAAACTAACTTCTGGGATGACAACTGGCATGAAATAGGGATTCTAAAATCACACGGTCCAGACATATTCAATTTGGTACTTCACCAACAGAAGATTATAGTAGAATTGTGGACACCTCAAGGTTTGGTTTGGATATCACTTTCAGAAAATTACCCAATGATTGGGAAATGGACAGGGTAACTGAATTTTATAGCACTCTTGCACAATTTAGTGGGTTACAGGCAAGGAAAGATGTATTGAGGTGGCAAGGTAGCACTAGTGGTGACTTCAAGGTGAATGTAGCGTATAGGATGATTAATCAGTCTAATCCGCAGGTTGATAATTGACTTGGAAACATATTTGGAGAACTAGTATCCCACACAAAGTAGCTTGTTTTGCGTGGCTCTTGGCTAAGGAAGCTGCCCTCACCCAGGACAATCTAATGAAAAGAAAGATCACAATGTGCTCCAGATGCTTTCTGTGTGGAGTTAAAGCAGAGATTGTTAGCCCTCTGTTCCTTTATTGCAAAGTGACAGAACAGCTGTGGAGAATTTTCTTTAACTTTAAAGGCATATCCTGGATCATGCCTGGAAAGATTATGGAAGCTTTACAGATTTGGGAGGAAACAGGATCCATGGAAAAGAACAAAAGTAGATGGAGAATTGTCCCTACTTGCATCAGGTGGACAATCTAGAAGGAGAGAAATTCAAGATGTTTTCAAAATACAGAGAAAAGTTTGCAGAAGATCAAATTGAATTGTCTTTTGCTATTATGTTTTTGGAGTGAACATTTTTGATGTTCTAGAGTCAATATAGAGGTAGATCAGTTTAGCTTCTGGAGTACAATTGTAAATTTGGTTTCAGTACAATTCATGTGCTCACTTAACAACTTAAGCTTTTAGATGAGGTGTCACACACTTGACACTAAGTTTGTTAGCTAAAGGGAATATCATGGCATGTACCTTTTTTTAATCAGCAAAGAGAGAACATCATCTCATTGTTAATTTTTTAATTCAAAAGGAAACCATTGTGGTGGGGGATTAGGCTATGACCCAACTTGTTAATTTCATCTCATCATCACATGGTTTAAATTTACATTCTACAAACTTGCGTGGTTATCTTAGTTAATTGTTAATTTTGGTTAATTAGCATGTTAACTTGGTTAAATAAGAAGAACAACAATACAAGAATGTGGGAAATATTAAAAATCCAATAGTTTCCACACCATAACCAATACATTGAATCATATGGAATTTTTAAGCTTTGCTGCATTCTTGTAGAACCATATTTCTTCCTAGGTTTTCTACTTTTTGGTATACTGCTTGTATACAGGGATTTCCCCAATATTAATAAAATTGTTTACCTTATCAAACAAAAAAGAAGAGATAATATGATTTTTTTGTGGTATCTAGTTTGATGTGTGCCTACACTTATGCCATTTTTTTTTCATTTTCTTCTGCTTGTGTTAGGCAGGTTCTGAATCTTGATTGGTCCTCCGAGATAAAAGCACTGAAATGTGTTGGTCGAGTAGACCTTGGACTTGATGGATCTTTTGCAGATGCCATTGTTGTTTCAAATGTTAATGAAACAGGAATTGATGATGCTTCTTCCTTGTTTATGTTGTCAAATCCAGGGAAACTGCACTTTTATGACAAGGCCAGCTTGTCTGCTTTAAAATCTAACCCAGAGAAGAAGCATGCAGATTTTGCTGTTAAGTATCCTACACTTGTACCTACCCTTGAACCACGTATTACTGTGGCATACCTATATCCAGTGGATAGGAAATGGAATTCCTCAAGGACTCCTTCAGAGGTACTAGATGCTTTGTAATTTAAATCGTTCAATACAAAATCATTATCGTGTGTTTTAGTAATCTTCTTCAACTAGTATTAGTTGTTTCCTTAGGAAGTTATGGTTGCGCAAATCCGTCCAGCTCATGGTGTGACTGAATTGGAAATCAAAATGCCTCTAAGTAGTATTCCCAGACAACCTACCAAGGATGATGGAATAGAGAGAATACTTGTTGCTGGCTATCTGGATGGATCTGTCCGTCTGTGGAATGCAACATTTCCAGTCTTTACACTTTTAGCTGTTCTGGAATCTCAGGTCTTTGCGTTTTGCATTTATTTGACTCTTAACTGATAAGATACTGCCTTGATATGTTCTCATATTCACTTATTTAGTAATAAAAATAATCTCTAGTTTCATTGCCATGAGCTTATATGTCAAAGTATGATGTTGGGGTGAAGGGAATTCAAGACACTGGTCCTAGAACAGCAATATCCGCTTTGGACTTCTCCTCTACTGCTTTAACACTTGCCATTGGCCACCAATGTGGCCAGGTAAGACCCATCATGTTTTCAATGGCTACATCTTTGAGAATCTGGTAACATCAGCTGTGCATAACTTACTGATACTTTTGGTTTGTGTAGGTGCATATGTATAGCCTCAAGGGGCAGTCTAAGACAACTAGCTCCAACTTGGCTACAGATGCTGAACAGGACGGTATGCCTTTATGTTCTTAACCTTTTCAGTAACTTATGTTATTTTGAAATTTTCTTCTAAACGATAGATGGATACTGGCTTGACATGATTGGAAGTCTGAAAATAGTTCAGCATTTAATAGGACTTAGGAGCCTCCAGGACAACAATCATCACCATTCTGTTTACATTAAGTTCTGATTGCGCTAGGTGGTGTTGACAATTGATTGGAGAGGAGAGGCATGACGGGAGAAAAAATGTTTTCCTTAATGGTTAAACTCAGCATAAAGGAGCTCTTGTATAGGAGTATTTAGACGCAAGTGTGTTATTGAAAAGTGATCAGAGAGGAGTAGCAAGAGGAGTAAATTTGTTTTTCGTGATGATTAAACTAAATTGTAACTGCCCACAGGCTCTGGGCGGTTGAACTCGAGAGGGTTTTCTGTGAAACATGCCTTAGGAAAATCCCACATCAGAACAGGAGGGAAAAGTTAGGGGCCATATAAGGTGGTTCAGGAATTTAATTGGTGAGGCGCCTTTTAGGTTAAAGCCCGAGGGACAAAACTTTGAAGCCCAAAAGGTTGGGCCAAAACGGACAATACACCTTGGCAGTTGGATTACATATTTCATGTCATTACTAGTTCTGTACTGGTAGCTAACCTAATGAAAGAAGAAACAGGTTTTATGTCTTCCATCAAGCTCCTTGCCATTACATATTTTCACTTACACACATACCATCTTGTTCTGCATCATTATGGTGATCCCTATGTAGTTTGTTTTCAGCTCAGTTCTGTCCAGGTGATACTGGATTTCAGTTTTCCCTCATAAAATCTCCAGTACGCATCCTAAAATTTGTAGCTGTGGGTGCCAGGCTTGTTGCAGGTTTTGAAAGTGGCCAGGTAAGATCAATCCAGACGTGATCATTACTAATTGTTGTGGCAGATACTTTTGGAAATCTATCAGATGTTTATGTTTCTGTTGTCCTGTCAGGTTGCCATGCTTGATGTTAGTTCATCATCAGTTTTGTTCATTACGGATTGTTCATCCAGCTCAAGTTCCGAAATCACTTCTGTGGCTGTGAAAACATTGGGTAATGCTCTTGAAGACACTGTGGAACTAAGTGAAGAGGGAACAAGAAATGCATGTGTGAAGGAGGTTATTTCAGTATTAAACAGAGATGCAGAAGTAGTATTGCTTGATGGCTCCACTGGCAAAAAAATTAGCTCCCAGGCAAAACACCCAAAGGAGATGTCAACTGCTATATCTCTATATATTTTAGGCAAGCATGACTTTTTCATTTTTAATCAATTTATGTTAGCTCTGAATGAAAACATTTATGAAAAGGAAAAATGTCACTATGTTCATATAATTCTCTATTATCAATAACGAAAGTTATTAGCTTCTTACGGAACTTTTTTTGTTATCTGTAGATGGCATTACATCTGTCTCTGAAGAATCGCAAAAGCATTCGTCAATGCAAGACAGCGCCGTGCAGCCTGAAGATTTGATGCAGAAGTGTATTGATTCACAAATTTTACTTTGTTGTCAGGAGGGCTTGCATTTATTCTCCTTAAGTTCTATAATTCAGGTGCCTTTCTTTTACCATTCACTACTGCAGCATTTCCTGTTATTCTCCTAAATTCACCAGTTTGTAACAGATTATGTAATTATAGGGCGATATCAACCCTATACGTGAAGTGAAACTTGCTAAACCGTGTTCTAGGACTTCCATTCTTAAGAATGACATTGAAAATTTTGGACTGGTTTTAGTGTATCAGAATGGAGCAGTTGAAGTAAGGTAACATGTTTTTATTTGCATCTTTCTTTACTATCGTACTCTTCTCATGCATACCTTTAGCAGTGAGATGAACATTACTGTATTACAGACATGTTCCAATTGTACTCTTTTGGTGATGGATTTTATTTTTTCTTGAGATTACCAATTATTTTGAGACTCATTTGTTATTGTTCGAGTATTTGATGTATGTTTGTAGAAACTGTATGCTTAATCTCTTTCTCAGAAAAAAAAAAAACAAGAATGTATGGTTAATCTATCCAATCTCTTGCCAGGTCCTTGGTGGATCTTGCTGTCTTGGGAGAATCTTCATTAATGTCTATTCTTCGATGGAATTCCAAGATAAACGTGGATAAGATCATAAGTTCTCCTGGTAAAGCGATGATTTCACTGGTTGGTATTTTTTCAACTCTATTTCTCCATTCTGCTTAAAATATAGACTACTTGTTTTACTCTTGATACTGCTTGCCATTTACATTAGGAACTATGCTGTTGTCCATAACATTTCATTAGTATAGAGGACCTCTATGTTATGTTGAAACCAATAGAACTGATAACGGCTGCTTTCCCTTCCCACGTTCTAGATTATCGTTAGGAGTTAGGACAACATCTGATTCTCACCATAATGCTTTTACTCAGTTTATGGTGGTTGTAAATATTTTCCCGACAATTACAACTAGTTAACAGTCTATGACAATGTTTCAAGGTGTCAAGCAATTAGAAACGATCTTGGAAGAACAAGGCAGGATAACTTGGTACAATCTAAGGGGTTATGATAGGCTGCTAAGGGCTCAGTATTGACTTCACTCTTGATTGTGTTTTCTTTATTTATGCTAATATTTTTGCAAAGTGTTCTTACAATTTGTAGGTGAATGGGTCTGAATTTGCTGTCATTTCACTGTTGGCCTTTGGAAATGACTTCAGGTCTGTCACCCTCATTATATTCTGTCTTGCATGCAATCCCCATTCCTAAAATACTCGGGCTGAAGCCCAGAGTAAGATCAGAAGAGTTTCCCTACACATTCATGAGCTTTCTGTTCATGACACAAAGGATGACAATGACCTTTTACAGGGTTCCGGATGCCTTACCTTCACTTTATAAGAAATCTCTCACAACTGCTGTAGATGATGTCAGTGCATCCCAACATCAAAAGAAGAAACAGGTTCGTACAATGTGCTACCAGGTTCCCATTCTCTGTCTTTTGATAGACCTCTTATGGAAGGTCATTTTCTGCTTTATCTAGAATGTTACCACCAGTATTTTTGGTGGCATCGTGAAAGGGTTGAAAGGGCTTAAAGGACAGCAGGCTGCTGATTCTGTGAATGCTCGAGATGCTCTTGTTTCTCATCTGGAAAACATATTCTCAAGATTTCCTTTCTCAGACCCTACATACGTAACAGATGACCTTGGAAGCCTGGAACTGAAGTTAGGTATTTTTCCCTGGCCCTACTATGCCCATTCTTGAAAATGATTATGGTCCACTAGTACAGATATTCCCTCAACTGCCCGAGTTCTTCCATTGCAGATGATATTGAAATTGATGAACCTGTTCATGTTGCTTCATCATCTCTCAGCAGTGATGATGTCAAAATAGGTATTTTTTCATTCTATACAGTAAATAGAATCTTATTTCCTTCTTCTATCCTTGATGAATTTGTCGTTTTATTCCACTCATCCAGAAAAGGAAACCGATAGAGACAGGTTGTTGGAAGGTGGTTCTAGTGATGCCAAGCCAACAGCTAGAACTCGTGAAGAAATCATTGCTAAATATAGAAACAAGGGGGTAATATTATCCTACAAATATATCTCACGTTAAATAAACTGCATTTGGGCATCTTTATTTACTGACTTGCTTATAACTTGTAGGATGCGGCCTCTGCTGCATTACAGGCAAAAGATAAGCTTCTCGAGCGTCAGGAGAAACTTGATGTATGTCTATTTAAAGCAAGTTTATGTTAACTACCTCCTGCAATATGCATATGCATTTTTTGCCATGAGCCTAGACACCTGTAGTTGGTTACAATGAGCTGAATTCTCGCCTCCTAAAGTCTAGTATCATCACTTTACCTCCTTGGAAAGACATTTTTGTACTTAAAAGATACCTGGCTCTAATTTAGAAGACCTTGATGAGGCGTAGTTTGTGATATTGTTTTAGATCACACCAATCTTTTTCTTAATTTAAATTGGACAATGGACTTCTTGAGTGCATGGTGTTTAGGCCAGAAACTTCAGTGGGTTGACTGAACATCATGAATAATTCCCCCCTCCCCATATGTCGTAAGTTTGTTATTATTTGATGGAAATGAAATAAATTTAATTAGTGATGTGTCAGTAGAAATTAGTAAACACCATTTAGTGAACGTTGAACGTTGAACCCCGGCTTTATCTTTCTATGGTCTTGTTCTAGTAAAATCTGCCTAATAACAATGATGTTGAGTTGAAATTCTGATACGTGTCCCACATACTTTGTTGTACCAGAGGCTCAGTAGAAACACTGAAGAATTACAAAATGGTGCGGAGAACTTTGCGGATCTTGCAGGTGAGCTTGTCAAAGCCATGGAGAAACGCAAGTGGTGGAACCTCTAATAGACGCAGAAAAGGCATAATTGTACATATTATAAACGTGTATCATACATTACTCTCTGTATGTTAAATAAATGCTACAGAAAAAGCAAAATTGACTAATTTGTTGGAGGTCACCTCAAATAAACATTAACTGTTGATTTAGTCGGAGAAGAAAAAAGTGAGAATTCATATCACATGCTCTATAAACTGACCACAACAATGGACGGCAGTTGCCATAAATCGCACTTTGTGATTTAGAGTATGCCGTCAAACATCACATGGCGGAGAATTTTGTTCACTTTTAGTTTTATGTCATCTTCGGACCGGCCATTAATGAACTATCTACTCTTTCCGTCCATCTTTACTCGTCCGCTAACAATACTTTTCTCATTTATAAAATCAATAAGTAATTTATTATTTTCTATCTATTTTACCCTTGCTATTAAAAGTTACTCCCTCCATTCCATATTAATTAAATTTTTGAGGTGTTTCACACCCTTTAAGAAAAATAGATTAAGGCATAAATTAAATATAGTTTTCCATTTTTACCCTTTTTAATTATTGTCAAATTTATGATTAAAATAACTAAATATTAATTTATCACTAATTCCAATACTAACTAATGAAGGGTAAAATTGGAAGAACACTCTAAATGTAGTCTTGAAAAGTAAACAATTCAGTTAATTTGAAAAATGAAAAATGTCTCAACAATTCAATTAATATGGAATGGAGGGACTATTCATTTTTCAACGTTTAGATGATTTATATTTAGAGGGGTGATTTGATAAAATTATCCTCATTATTTTAAGGCTTTTTAATTTTTGTGTCAAATTAATAGTAGACAACTATTGTTGGATCGACAATTTTCAGAATTGATTATTTCCGTATTGAAGTTTGAAAAAGTCCCAAACTTTGATTCATTGCGGTCAATTGTTTTTTATTCCATCTGTAATGTTCCTTTTTATTAATAAAAAGAAAAAAAACGTTTGTTTGGACGGTTGTTACTTGTTGTATTGTATTGTATTGTTAGTTTAAATGAAATGTTTGTTTTTACTTAAATTTGATTGTATTGTATGGTTTAAATTCATATTTAGGTAATTACAAAAAGACTTATTTTATGTTAGGACTGATTTGGTGTGATGGCATTGTTATTTTAATATTTTCTTTTTCTTTTTGTTTTTATTTATTATTTAATAATATATTTCATCTTTTATCCTACCTTTTCACAATAACTCTATCTCGTATTCTAATTTTCTTGTAGGTTTATCATTCAAATTATGAAGTATGATATTATGTAACAACAGCGAACATATATCTATTCAAACACTATATATTCATTAAATTAAAACAATATAATACGATACATTATAAAACAACAATATGTAATCCAAACAAAGTGTAGTTTGTTTTCATCACAAAACTATGCCTCTCCTCGTTCACAAATCACAAGTGCTTTCGCTACAATTGTATGTATTATCTAGGAGGACCAACCCTCACAAGCCAACAATTTTATCACAATACAGCTCATAAATATAAATTGCAGCATAGTGGTCTAGATCTGGGAAAACCATACAAACTACCTCCTAAAAGTAAACTAATTATTTTGATTTATCCTTCTTACTGCATCTGTCCACTTTTAATTATCATAATTTCCTATTTTTAGAGTTAAATTATAAAAACTTTGACTAATATTTTACGATGTATTTTTTCATCATATTGATATGCAATATACTTTTCGTATAGTTTTTGAATATCTAATTTACTTTTAAAATATCAAATTAATATGATCTAATTTAACTTTGAAAATTAGTCAAATTAACTTTTAAAAAATCTTACATGACAAATAAAAGTAGACATAGAGAGTATTAATTTTGTCAATACCTCTACAATAGAAAACATTTACCCAAATACCCGTTAGTTTGCACACTAAAGCAGTGCTCCTTTCTTCTTCTTCTTCTTCTTTTATCCTTTCCTTTATTGTTTTTTTGTCATTACAATTATTGATTTTGTCATTTTCTCATTTATTATTTTTATACCTTATTAAATATATCACTAGTAATATTTTTTTTAATTATCTTTTCCTTCTGGTTAAGTTAGTTTATATTCTTTTTTTTTTATTTTGTTTTTTTCTATATTTTTGTCTTTTTCTAAAATATAGAAAAATATTAACTAATTACTTTTAGATTAAAAAGAAAATTAAATAACTAAGACTATAATAAGAAATAATTAGAGAAACACTACAGAAGTGGTTTACTGAATGATCAGAGTAGCCATGAATGATAATATGCCGGTATAAAGATATAATGTGATGATATCATGAAAGATCAAGAAGTGTCTCACTAGAGAATTAAAGAAGATCGGAAGGTTATCATGATATACGGTATCTTGGAAGACTAAGACATCTATCGTCAAAGGAATAAAATATACATCAATGATACCATGCAGTATATAGATATACTATAATGGTATTAAGGAGGATTGAGAAATCTTACTATAGGACTAGAGTAGACCTCAATGATATCGTGACAATATATAGATATACACTATGATTTTATGGGTGGGGGTGGGGGGGGGGGGGGGGTCTAAAGAATGTTTCACTGAAGGATTGAAGGAGACCTCAATCATACCATGTCAATATAAAGATATTGTTATAGTATAACGAAGGATTGAAGAGTGTCTCACAAAAGGACTGGAGCAAACATAAAGGATACCTCACAATATATATTGTCATAGTATCATTGATAACTGAAGGATTGAAGGAGACCTCAATTATACCATGTCAATATAAAGATATTGTTATAGTATAACGAAGGATTGAAGATTGTCTCACAAAAGGACTAGAGCAAACATGAAGGATACCTCACAATACATATTGTCATAGTATCATTGATAACTGAAGCAGACTTTGACGATACCATAACAATATATAAATATATTTTTATGGTATCATTAAGGATTTAAACATGGCTTAAGTCATCTGCAGTCCCTTAAAGTTGTCCGCATAACTCATTGAGACACCTCAACTAGGGCTAGTACCTATTGAACACCTCTACCAATCAAGATTTGAATCGTTTAAGCATTTTTTACCTACATGGAAAAATGTTTATGAGTCACCCAAAAGGCGAGCGTGATTCCTTTTTTCTCCCATCTAATCTATGCATTTAACTCCCCCGATGTTAAAAGAAACGGTCATTTCTCTTCTTCCCTAAATCCATTGTTAGAACTAGGGGTGTACATAGGTCGGGTTGGTTTGGTATTTTATTTTAAAAAATCAAACCAATTATGTCGGTTTATTAAATTAATAAACCAAATCAAACCAATATAAAATCGGTTCTTTCAATTTTGATTTTAGTCGATTCTTTCGATTTTATCGATTTGTCAGTTTTCTCGATTTTTTTAAAGAATATTTAGGTTTTACGATAGGAGAAGTCAATATTCATCTATCCATCTTTATTTTGTAGAAGCTGGAGGTGTTTTAGTACAGGGAATTGGCTTTATTCTACATTTGGACAACTATCATTGTATATGACCTGCACTCAATGTAGCAGTATGTTTATCTACCCATCTGCAATATCTTTATTAGGACTTAGGAGTGTACAAATGAACAAAGCTTTGTACCTCCATAACCCAACATCCTGACAACTATTCAATAACCATTTCATTTCAATCTGATTTCTACAAGTTTTGAGTATCAAGATCCTCACATGATCAGCAGGAGCAAATTTCTTATAAAAAAATAAGTCTATTTAACATTGAAAATTAAAAACACAACAGTTCACATCATGTTTGTAAAAAATCCTCTTAGAAACCCAACAACAGAACTACTAAGCTACTTCAATAATCTTCAACCACCATGATGCAGCTGCATAGTTTCTTCATCCAAACTAATATATACTCAAAAGGTCACCTAGACATACATTCTGAAAGAAAGAAAATTATCAGCACGTGAACGAGTAACTAGACTTGTAAAAGTAACTTTGTTAGATAATAAAGAAATATAAAACGCTATTTCAATGAAGGGGAAGGAAATACCTATATATCACTAGAATTGCAAAAAGCTATTTCATTAAACTAATCGATACTCAAAGGAGCACCTGGACATTCTGGAAGGAAAAGAATTATTAGCACATAAATGAGTAATTAGATATTGAATCACTTTTCAACTCAACTTTCTTAGATAGCAACTAGCATAAAGTTGTTTTCAAAGTAGAAAATTAATAGCAAAAATGGAAAATTAAGAATTAAATTAGTAAATTACCTTTTTCAACTTCTTCAATTTTCTAAACTTCCTCCAAATAATCTTGACCCTTTCATTCTTTAGAAGGTGACTGTATCCATTGTTGAGTGCAAATAAGAGCTTCTACTGTCTTTGGTGGTAAAGAACTCCGATATGAATCAAGAATACGACCACATTTACTGAAAGTTGATTCAGATGCAACAGTGGACACAGGAATAGAAAGAACATCCCTTGCCATTTTTGAAATAGTTGGATATCTATTTGATGAAGCTTTCCACCAAGTCAAGATATTAAAATCTTTTGGCTTCTCTACATTATCCATCAAATATTGATCAAACTCAGATTTTTTTCCAGTAATTTCCTCTTCTTCTAAATGTTTCTCCCATTGATCATGCAATATATCATCAACTTCACCCATCATGTTAATGTCACCTCCAATATTATCAGTAAAAGTTCCAGTCGAAGAATTATTATAGTGATTATACAAGCGTTTCAAGACACCTTCCACATTATATGCCTTTACTTTTCCCAGTAAAGAGCCATATGATTTGCTAAGAATAAAATTGACATATCGCATCTTATACCTAGGATCCAACACAATATCAATGAACAACAACATGTTCAAATTCTCGGGTTTCTCAATATTCTCCCAATATTTTCAAACTTAACCTTCATCATTCCAGCCATGTCAATCAAAATAAGATCTTCACTACAAGAGTACTTCAGTATAGAACTTCGAACATTAAAAAATCCATGGAAGAATAAATTTGAAGTAACATTATGCTC